TAAGGATTAAAGATAATTTCGCTCCAAGAGATTAGTCGAGGTGCGCGTAAACTAGTCCGGACATCTGCGATTAAAAAAAAAAAAAAAGATAATTTCTTTTTTGAGTTATGGACTAAGATGTAAAAGAGAGAGATTGCTAATGTTTATAATCTTTTTATAAACGTTCCAGGTCACTTTTTATCCACCCACGTTTCGAGGGACCCACAAGTACTCTATCCACCTCTCATTTCTATATATTAGATAATTTAAACTGTTTATTAACACTTTCCAAACATGCTTTCAATCTTTTCTCTCCTTTCCTTTCCTTTCCTTTTCTTTTTTTCTTTTTCTATTTTTCCAAAAGAATTATTTTCGGAGATCCTTGATAGGGATTTTTAATACGGTTATAACTGGTTTTTCGTTGTTTTGATTATTGAATAAAACTACAGCTTCTCCTCTCGTCTCCTTTCTCTTCTATTCTTCTCTCCATTTCCCTTCTACAATTCTAGTTCTTGTTTGATTGCTTTTGTCATCAATTATAGATGTTGCATGAGGTAGAACTCAATGAACAAGAATGAGACTTGAGAAGAAAGGGAGAGAGAGAGAGAAGAAAGGGAAGAGGCTCAATAGAAATTAGAATATGCATTTATTCAATAATTGAGTCTAGGTATTACAATGGATAGACCTCTTCATATATAGATTAAGCAAATCTAATTTTAGAAGGAAACAAAAGTAATAAAGCCTAAATTAAGTCAAGCTAGTAAATCTATAACTAAAATCTTAATTCTAGTCAAACTGGGAAAACTGTAATAAATTAAAATAAGCTGATCCAAATGAATCTATCGTTATACCTAATCTACCACGAGTATGTATAATTTTTATATTTATTCCCCATCAATATGTCTAAATGCAGAAGTTATAAGGAATCTTGAATTTTTTTTTAATTTGCAAATCATTATAAGAGTGTATAAACTTAGAATTAATAATTTTGACCTCCCAAGATTTTATAAGAGAGTTGGCTTTGTTTTAACCTATTGTATTCTTTGCATAAAGCAACTGCATTTTTATACAAACCACGAGGATATCTTAGAGCCTCGGAAAATTGGCAAAAGCATTCTCTAATCATCTGTTCCGTGTGATATTTCATTTTCCCTGTGCATGTGTGTTTTGTTCCTATTACTTGGCTCATACTGTGCGCAACTACTTAGAGCCAACCACGGTGCACATTCTTATAAATTCAGACATCAAAATCTATTCTCTATTAAGGGCATACGATTTTCAGAGTCTATCACAATCAATTTACACGATGGATGAATCATTTTTTCGGCAATATTTTTCTGTTACTTGAGCAGGTCTTTGTATGGTGACAAAGCAACAAAGTTTCCTGAAAGGACAAATGAAATGACTGCAGTTTATGCGAAGCAGTGTGTTGAATTAGCTAAAGAACTTGGTCTTCCATCAATCAATCTATGGTCGAAGATGCAGGAAACTGAGGGCTGGCAGAAAAAGTTCTTAAGGTTTGTTATTTTATTTACAAGTGACAGAATTTTTTAACACTTCTGGAATGGGATAACAGGATTACTTCTTAGTAACCAAAGTATCGCAGCTCAAACTTTATTTTAATCACCTTTTTTATTTACAGCGATGGCTTGCATCTGACAGCAGACGGTAATGCAGTTGTCCATGAAGAAGTAGTGAAAGTTTTTAATGAAGCCGGGCTTTCAGCTCCGAAGATGCCATATGATTTCCCCCACCATTCAGCAATTGATGGGAAAAATTCTGAAAAGGCTTTCCACAATTTATGCCCTGGGGCATAATGCAGTTTTGTAATGAATAAAACGATCAGAACTCATTTATATTCTTTTTATCTAAAGCAAGGCAAATACATAGATCTCGTGTTTTGGATTATCCATTGTATCATGCTTTCTATATGTTTGAGACTCTTAAATTCCAATCGCTAATTCATCCTAGTGGTGCAAATTGAGATGGGTATCTGGTCGATGACATGTTCCTCTTGCCCTTGAGCCATTTTCTAACTAACGGAGAACTTTATGGTTAAAATGAGCTCGTTGTTCGTTGAACCATAAACCATGTGGTTGAAGTATGCCTCTTGGGGGGCTTTAAGCTAGTTGGAACATTGAACGTACGAAAGAAAGAAAATGTATGAATATCAATAAATGTGCAAGGCAATTGCTCGTCCGAGGGAGAGAATCTTTACATTTTCGACGTCTGTTTTATTCTTTACAAATACACGATTAACATAAAGACTCTAATAATCTAGTTGTAACCTAGCCTTAGCTTACTTAATTGATGAACTCAAAATTGTTTATATAGACATGCACAACTCATTCAATAGCTTCTAAACACACCACGTTCTGAGACAAATTAATGAATCTACTTGACAATAAATGTTGAAGCATTCTTAGTAACTCTAATGAAACACACAAACTTTACAATTCGCATAAATTTCGGTTTTAGTATTTAAATGGATCAAACGAGACAGCCTCACAAGTCAGATTTTCAGAAAGAGGCTTCAAATAGTGTTGTTTGGGGACTCCATAACAAAGCAATCTTTCTCACCAAGCGGTTGTGGCGCTGCTCTTGCTAATACTCACTCTTGCAAGGTTTTGATTTTTTAATATTTCATCACACACTCCAAATCAGGTATTTGTATGCATAAATTTACCTCTTTGATTTTGCAGGCTGATGTGTTGCTAGGTGGTTACAGTGGATACAACACCAGGAGGGCTTTACCCTTGTTGGAACACCTTTTCCCTGTGGGGATATCTTGCGAGTCATTGGCAGGGATCTGCGACACCTCTTGTTGCTGCCACTATATTTTTTGGAGCTAACGACTCAGCTATTATGGGGAGAACCAGTGAATGGCATCATGTGCCTGTTGAAGAATACAAAGAAAAATTAAGAAAAATAGTGCAACACTTGAGGGTTCGAGTTTCTAATTTTTTGTGCTTGAAATTTGCACTAGGTCCAAAGGCTCAGAATTGTTCCCCTGCCGTGCTAGTTGTACTCAATAACCTGCAGATGAGGAAAGGTGAATAGAACATGCACGGTATGATCAGTCTTTTGCTTTCAGTATGCGTTAACTTATAGATTTTCTAATAGATTTACACGATAGGTAGCTTTATCGGAGGAAAAGTAACTATTATACCTTCCGGCAATGCCTTTTGTTTGTCTTCATCAGGTCTAAGTGTAACGCCCAGAGTTCCGTGAACCTAGATTGCCACGTCATCGTCTTTTGTAATTGAATTAACTAAAAAGGTTCGCGAAAAATAACTAAATTTTAAACATCACATATATAACGGTAAAACTTCGTCGGCAGTAAAACTCATTTGATTAACTTAAAAAATTTGATTAAACTTTAAATCTCGAGTTTTTGAAATAACTGAAATAACAAAATACGTTAATGATGTTTAAATATGTAATTTTTCAAATGTAAATAACTTCATCCATTAAATCATTGCCAGACTGCCCATCAAACCCGACCATAGCCGAAATCTGCAAATGTCGTTAAAAATAACGGAATGAGTATTTCGATGAAATACTTAGTAGACTCATTGCCTATAATTAATTTACAGAATAATTGAACACATAATTATACAATATATACCGTGACATCATTATCATTGGCTCATTTTCTTGAAAATCATAGACTCTTTAAAATCATAGGGTGTTGGTAGTCTCGTCTCATACATTTTAGTACATAAGTTATGCATAACATTCTCATCTTATCTCATAAGAGATACTCGTCTCATCTCATGCATTAAAGCATATAGGTTATGTCAAACATAATAACATCATATATCTCATAAGAAATATTCTCATCTTATGCATTTAAGCATATAAATAACGTAAATTCACATAATACATGCAATTATAATTTAAACTAATTAATGGTAGCGAGTCTACCTCAATTTATCTTGAAACACGTGAAAAATGGAGCGGGAAGTAATCTCAATCTCTTAATCGTCCGTACGTTTCGTCTAACCAAAATAGAAAATATGTTTTGAATTAGTATTCCGAAATT